GTCGCAGTGGGGTACAGCGAGGGGTGGGGCTGTCTGCTCTGCCGAGGGAGTGATGGGGAGGAGGAGGCAGCTGAGACAGCCCGTATGGGCAGCCACGTCTGATGCAAGACACTGAGAACTGCCACCCCACCGACGCGACTGTAGACCAACTCAGCCCACCCCCCCCCGACCCCCGGTGGCCTTCCGACTGGGAGCTGCCTTGCAGCTTCTTGGCTCTGTAATACCTGAAGTTACAGGATTCATCCCTCAAGACCTCTAGGCCGCAGATCCCCCGGAACCCTCCGAAGATGCTCACATGGCATCAGTAGGGGTACCATTCTTATTATTTTTTTATTGTGGTAGAATACACATAACATACAACTTACCATCTTAATCATTTCTAAGTGTACAATTCAGTGGTATTATGTACATTCCTAATGCCATGCTATCATCACCACTGTCCATCTCCAAAACCCTTTTTATCTTGTCAACCTGAAACTCTGTACCCACTAAACCGTGACTCCCCATTCCCCCTTCCCTTTAGCCCTTGGTGACCATCATTCTACTTTCTGTGATTTTGACCATTCTAAGAACTTCATATAAGTGGAATCATACAGCATTTGTCTTTTTGTGACTGGCTTAGTTCACATGGTATAATGTCGGCAAGTTCACCCATAGTGTAGCCATACCATTTTGATAGAGCCTCTCCCCAGTGCTACTACTAAATGGCAGAAGATGACTTCCACCTCATTTTCCTCTTCCAAGAGGGGAGGAGGGAAACTGAGGCCAGGGGAGAGGAGTGTCTCGCCCAAGGACAAGAAAGCTCAGGAAGGTGGGGAACGCTAGAGTGCCGTTCTCTGCTTCCAGCTCCAACTGGTAAGACAAAGGCCATGTCTGGGGATGCAGAGAGTCCCTGGATATACCATGTGACTTCGAACCCGGCTCTTCACCTTCACAGCCTCAGTTTCCCCTTTGCTCAAAATAATATAATAGAAACTGACTTTCCTTTCTCAAAGAGTTATTGTAAAGATCAAATGTGGTTTGTAAGTGACTTTAAACGTGTAATGTCCATACAGTAACAACACGTGGCTGTGCACCCAGAGTCTGCTAAATCATAGTGGCAGCCAATCGTGGTAGCCATGCCACACCAGGGTAAGATGGAGACAAGCGGGCTTAGGAGGCCATGTAGGTGCAAGTAAAGTGTTGAGAGGGGAGGCATGCGGCCAGGGCTCCTCCACACCAGAGACTATAGCTCCAAGCCACGGCACTGTTACTAAACCCCGCTGCCGAGTTTATTTATCCCCCCCCCGAAAATACCGATCAGAGGCCCATTCCGTGCTGGGCGCTCTGCCGGGCTTGGGGTACAGGGGTGGACAACGTCCTGACTTCATGGAGTCTGCTGTCTAGAGATGGAGGTTGTCCTTAAACAGTCACATGAATACCCGCACGATTACCAACTGGGGCAAGGGCTAGGCAAGGGTGCTGCCAGTGCCCAGAGAGGCCTGAGTTGGCATTAAGCCTCAGACTGAGCTGAAAAGAGGCCCGCGTAGTTGGGGTGGAGTGAGTGAGGCAGAGCGTGCAGCTGCCCGGCGTCACTATCCCATGCCATAGCATCACTGCGGCCCACTGTGATGTCATTTCAGGCATGCCGCGGGCTCCCGGGGAGCATGCTGGCGCGCCTGTAACCAGCCAAGGCCCTCCTGACTCCTTCCGGAGGCCAGCATCCAGGCGCAGACCCGGGAGTCAGGTTAGCAAATGCTCCTGCCTTCCGCACAAAAAGCATGATCTGTCATGCCGCAGAGGCCATCAGCTGCGCTTAAATGCTATTTTACTATAAATTCCAGAGTATAGGTACTTGTCTTATTAAATACAAGTTCTGTGTGATTAAACCTGGGAAATCTCCTGCCTTTCCTTCCCAGATTGGAATACAGGTCTCTTTAATGTAGAAGAAGGAATGGGGTGGGGGGGAGGGGTGGGCAGGAGGAGCAGCAGGTCCCTGGCTGTGAGGGCAGGCCTGTGTCTCATTCTTCATGCAGGGTCTGGCATGTCTGGGGTAGGCCTGCTTCCCGGGCTGCTCCTCACAGGCTACACGATCTAAGGCAGATTATTTCACTTCTCTGAGGCTTGAGAGACTGCACATCCTGAGGGGCTGTTAGGAGGGAAAGAGAGCAGGAGAGAGGTGGCGACCTGGCGGTCTGTGTTCCAACCTGTTTCCAGCAATGTGATGAGTTCCTCTGAGGTCCGGTGCTGTTCACTGCCCCAGAATTCTGACAACTTTCCTTCCCCCCCTCCCCAAATCCCTTCCTTGCTTCCTTTGCTCCTCCCTCCCGCCCTCCCACCTTTCCTTCGGTCCTCAAGCTAGCTGGAGTAGATTTTCATTATTTGCAAGCAGAGAAATCTCAGTGAACACCCTCCTTCGCAAACTTGTGTGGGGATGAAATGAGATAAGCGTATGAGTGCTTGACACGGCACTGGGTGGGCAAGCAGAATTCTTGGAGTGGTATTTTCCAAAATGAGTTTAATACCACTGAGGGCTAGGGGAGGGTGTGGGGGGAAAGAAGCTCTATAGGAAAAGGGTTCCTTGACTCATCTTTGGGAAATACCGGGTACTATGTTCCCCTCTTGAGATTCCTATTGATTAGCATATTCAGAACTGAAAGATCTTATTGTGAAAGAACACATTTAATTTTGCTTAACTCTGTGTTTCCCAAACTCCCTCAAACTCCAAACTCCTTTCTCTCCTACAATGCCTAGGCAAGTCCCTCCAGGATGGGACACGCTGCTGTAGTCAGGCAGGGCTGGCCTGGAGCACCTCTAAGGCACCTTGAAGCCCTCAATCCTGAGACTTTATTATTATTTTTCACCTTCTCCAAATCTTTAGTAGTGAATTCTCCTGATTGATAGACTCTATGTTGCAACTCAGAGCTGTTTTAGCAACAGGATTAATGCCTGTGGTTAGAGATTTGCTCCAGCTCTTATAACGAGAAACACATATTCTCACTAGGAAAACGTTGGGGGTTTAAACTTCAATAGAGAACCATTTCTGAGGGTTGGAGCTCTTTTACCCTTAAATCCCCAAATCGGACAATCTGGAGCTTGAAGACATACAGAAAGCATCTAGTTCCCCATCACCACCCCAGGGGCCATTGGAAGCCCAGAGAGGGGAGACATTTTGGTCAAGGTCACAGACTTCTTTCCCATTTGCCACCCCTGGACAGCAGATGATGACATAAATAAGTCTGTAGAGTGGACAGCATTGACCTCTTTCTGACCATTGCCACTCTTGTAATTAAACAGAAATGTTAACATAAAGAAATGGTCTTTCCACCACCATTACTGCGAACAGTGTGCTCTGTCCAGGGAAGGTGGAAAGGCATTGCTCTCAGGCCTGCAGCAAGCCATAAAACCTGCCAGCGCTAATGAACCATTGCTTGAGCCAATTAAGAGAGGAAGCAAAACTGTCTTTAATTAAGGCATCATGCATCCCATGGGCTCTCTCTAACTTATACCCAGAGGTATTGGGAAGCCCCTCTGGACCCAGTTGCCATGCTTTTGGAAAGCAGGAAACCAACTCTGTTTAAAAGGGACCTGGCTGGGTATTGAACAATCTGGGTTCTGATCTGAGCTGTACCTCTGACCTTGGGTAAATCCCATCTCATGTGTAGCCTTAGTTTCTTTATCAATGAAGTCATCCCTTTCCTTCACTCATGTTCATCAAATAGTTTTTGAGCATCTACTATAGGCTGATCCCTGCTGCCAGGCACCATGGACACAAGGACCATGAAGTCTCAGTCCCTGCTCTCTGCTGGCTTGAAGGCCAGTGGAGTCCACGCAATGGGATAAGTCTTGTTCAATAACCAGGCCTGTGGGTGCTTAGAGGAGGAAGTAACTAATTCTGTTTGGGGGTTTGGGGAATGCTTTCCAGAACAGGAGACATGAGCTGTGGTATGAAGAAGGGTTAATAAGATAAGGAAGGGACAGCAGGTTCTGGGCAGAGGGCAGCCTTGAGGAAGGTTAGGAATCAGGGACCAACAGGACATGTCTAGGGAACTAGGCTTTGCTTAGAGTGGCTATTAGAGTGGAGGGTGGGGGGTGAGGCAGAATGGTGGACAGATAGGCACCAGGTCAGACAGAGCCTCTCATGCAAAAGCTGCAAGGCTGAATGTTACTTTGAAAGTTGTGGGACTAATCTGCTCTAAAGATACGTAACGTGCACAGTGAAATTAGACAACTAGTCAGTGTTTCACTGGCTGTGTGACTTGAGGCGAGTCTGTTGCCTCAACTGTCAAGTAAGAGTAATCACACTATCTCAAAGGATTCAATGTTCTATTGGCAGATGATCCACCGGGCAGTGAAATTTTAGACTATAAATTATGGTGCTCAGCCAGAAGAAAGAGAGTTCAAGGTCTGAGAGCATGAGTGCGTGTGAGGCGAACTTGTATGCCCACATCAGAGAGAAATGCTGCTCAGATGACCTGGGATGCCACTCTCCTTCATTAATTTTCTCCAAAAAGAAACACAGAATCAAAATAGTCATTGCTATCACCCCCATAGGATATTCTGAAAGCACATTTGTCTCCACCATTTCTTTTGATTCTCACCAGTGCCCTGTCAGGTATGTGATCATTGCCTTCATTAGGAAACTGATGCTCCATTTCTCGAAACCGTTTAAAAGGGACCTGGCTAGGTATTGAACAATTTGCGTTCTGATCTGAGCTGTAGCCTTTCCAGTAGCCGGAAAGTGAATTCCCCAAGGTTACATGGAAGTGAGTGTCCAAAATGATTCTAGCTCTCCTGATTCCTGGCCCAGCAAGCTGATCAGAAAATCCCAGTAAGTTACCTCAGGTGGCGATGCATGAAACATCCAAGGATCATTAGCCACATTCTCAAAAACCAGGGTAGAAACTTCCTCTAATGAACTCATGGGTAAGATGAAAATTCTTTCTCAAAAATATATCCCCTTTTTCTCCTTGCTTCCATCCCACCATCCCAGCTTCCAAGCATTCTCCCCTGCCCCTCACCTGTAATTGCCCAGGTAGACTCCATCAGGGTTGAGCATTGGTGCAATCTTGAAGACCAGGTGTTCCCGTAGGACACGGGCAATAGGGTGCTGGCTTACGAGGAAGTCAATGATCCCTAGGGAAGGAGAAGAATCTGGGTTAACCTCAAAGTGTTTCAAGAAGGAGGGAGCGCATTTTCTTCAGCTTGGAAGCAGTAAGAGCTCCAAAGGTGATTTTTGGCCTATGTTGTCAACCACTGTGGGTATATGGTTATGGATTAGTATTGCCTGGGGAATTTTACAACTATATCTCTGTTTCCAAGAGACAGTTCAAGACATAATGTTGAAGCCCATGGGCAGATGAAAGAGCATGTGTCCTGCTGCAAAGCACCGCGCAGGCGTCTAAGAAAAGAGCATTTGAGCTGTGCCTTGGAGGGCCCGGATTTTGACAGACAGAGATGGGGGAGAGGCAGGATAACTCCGAACAATGAATTAAGAGATATTCTCTAATGTCTAAGTGTTGACATTGGATTGGACAATTATGGGGTCAGGGACTCAGGGATCTAAACCATCCTGTTGTTGGTGGTCACACCAGAAGACAGAGAGGAGGAGGAATTTGGTTAAAGTCACATGAGGAGAGGGAGGTTTCTTTGATATCCCAACTCTGCCCCTTTCCCCACTTTGAGGACCCGCTGTTCACAGACTCTGGGTCTGGCTGTCCTTGCTGCTTCTCCCTGGCACTAACAAGTGCCTCCAGGTCACCAAATTTAGAAAAGCTGAATTCTCCATGATTCTCCTCCCACACTCAGGCAGTCAGTCCCCAGATCTCTTCCTTGAATCTAGCAGATCTGCCCTGTATCTCCATCCCTTTGCTGCACATCTATTCTAGGCCACCACCACATCTGGACTGAATGACTGCGACCACTTTTGGAACGTGTCCTCATCGGTACAGCCAAAGTCATTTTCCTAAAGTACAAATCTGAGCCTGCCCTCGTTGGCTTCCTTCTGGTGATAGACTGCATACCTTGACAGGAGCAGGGGTGAGGAAACAAACAACCCAAGTCCTCACCCTTCCCTTTCCTTCTCCACATTTCTTAACTCCTTCTTCAGAGACCTGGAAAACAATAGGCAAAATGGAGCTCTGGCATTCCATGAAATAACTGTAATGCTGGAAAGCGGTAGGAGGATGCACAACCCTCCCAGAGTGTAGAAGGGAACTCCTTTCCTGCTGGGGAGAGAAGGAAAGGCATCAAGGAGAAAGAAGCTTTTGAGCTGGGCCCTGGAAGATAAGCATGTTTTGACAGACAGACAGGAGGAAGCAGCAGGTTAACTACGAACAATCCATGGGCCAGTGGCAGCACTTAGCTCCTGGAATGATAAATGGCTCCACAGTACATCCCAAAGCTGCTGTGACCAGTGAGGGACATCTCAGGGTTTTCATTAGGCCAGGGCTCAGAATCCATTGGCAGCCGAAAGCCAGTTGGACATCATCTACTTCTCGACCGACACGGCAGTAGACCAGATGCCCTAATTTATTTGTTGGTCTTCATATTAAAGCTGCAGTTTGCCAGTAAACAGTCAGGGTAATGATGCCAGGTGCCCTTGTTAGGGGCTAATAATTGCTTAATCTGTCCACTAATTGACCCCAGCTCCCGGAGCAGCCCTCCATCAAGGAACCAGCCTGCGCTCAGGGCCTGGCCACGCTGCCTCAGAGAATGACAGAGAATGGCTTCTGGAAATGGAGTAGCTCATTGTGATCCATCCTCCTTCACAGATGAGCAGATTAATTGGGCTGCCAATTAGGCAGCTAATAAAAGGATGAGAGAAGACAAAGCCAGGACAGAAGCTGCAGCCATCCAGAGCTCCCTCTCCCATAGTGAGTGTGGGGCAAGGAGAGGAGAGGTTTTAGACTCATCTCTCAGCTAGAGGTCAGCTACAGCTCAACAGGAATCATTCCCCTCGATCAGGAAATTGGGAGGAGAGCCTTTGCTTTTGTGAGTGTATGTGAGGGGGTGGCAAGTGGAGAGGAATATGAGGAGAAATGTTGGAGAAAGCAAGAGTGGAGAGGAAATGCTGCCCCTGGTCAAAGGCCAAAAGCATCGCATGGACTGAGGAAGCAGAAGGACTTGGGCACCTACATTCGGACCCTAACTGGTTATTAGCTGGAGAAGCTACTGGCTTTCTCTGCCCAGTTTCCTCATCTTGATACAGGAGTAATAATAACCAATCTGGAAGACTGCCATGTGACTGGGGTTAGAACACCTGTACTTGAACTGCCTGACACAGCACCTGGAAAAGGTCATGTGCTTTAATCAACTCACTGAGATCGAAGATTGAGAGGCATTGAGGGTAGAAAAAGCAGAATGGAATTTGGAACTGGGGGTCCTGGTCTGTGAGGTTTGCTAGCAATGAGACTTGGGAACAAGGATGCTGAATTGAAGAAGCCAACAAACCAGCCGTCTGAGAACTTGGGTCTTAGTTGTGGCTCAGTTACTGTGTGCGCTTTAGAAAGGCTCCAGCCTACACTCATTTTTAAAGTTAGAAGAAAGAAGTCAGTAATTCCCAAGGACACATTCCACACTGGCAGTCTGGGATTCCATCCTTTCATTCCTCTCCCCCGGAGTAGAAGGATCCTCATCTATCAAGTGAGGAGAATAATCTCCCTCCTGTAGGGAGACACAATCAACCTCCTTAGATCAGTCTCTGTTCTTTGGTAAACAAGTTTGCTGGGTCCTTTCTTTTGAATTGATTTAATCAGGAAGGTGGAAGAAAGCAGGACAATGGGAAGACTGGAGGCTTGAGAGGCTGGGGAGAGGAAGGAAAAGTGGTAGATGATCAGAAATTATAGCCGGGCCACAGAGATCGTTGCCCTGGGCTGACCTTGGCCTGGTCAGGATGAACCTCACCAGGCAACCCCAAATAACTATTCATAGTTATTTCTTCTAGTGTACTTGGTTCAGGGCAGGGTACACGGCAGGTGCTTAATAAATGCCCATTGGTAGACTGGCCCCAGGCATTCATTTGACTTTGACAGAGTATAGGGTCAGCTGAACTGAAAATCACTCATTCCATAAACATTCACAGGGCCAGGTCCGCACCATAAGCCTGGCACTGCAAGATACAGAAGGGGTTTCTGCCCTAGAATATGCACAGTGAGAAAGCAACTCCCGTTGTAGTGATGGGCTCAGGTGGGAACAGCCGGGGAGCCCTGAGAACCCAGAGGGCCTGGGAAGGGGCTGTGGAGAATGGAGTTGTAAAGGATGAGTAGAGTGAGCCAGATGAAGGGGTGCCAGGAGAAGGCGTTCCGGGGAATCCTACACAAAGGCTGTAAGGTGAGGGAGAAGGAGGCCCATCTGCCAATGAAGAGCTCTTCAGTCTAGGGCATAGCTTCGTGATTAAAGGCACAGACTCTGAAACTGGACTGTCTGGGTTTGAGTAGCCGTGTGGCCTAACTTCTCAGGTGCTCAGTTCCACATCAGTTAAGAAGGAAAGAAGAAAATTGCCGTGGAGGTTGTTGTGAGGATCTCCGTAAGTTAGTAGAAGCAAAGTGTCTGGCCCATAGGAAATGGACGTGTGTGTTGTCTGAACCTTTGCTCCCATTTGGTTTGGCTGAAGGTGTGGGGATGAGAGGATGTTGGGAGAGAAAGAGAAGAGGTAAACGGGGACTTGCCAGTCCAGCTGAAGGATATGAAGGGCACAGGAGACCACTGCCAAGTACAGGGGCAGACCTGGGCTTCCCCACTGCAGCATGGAATGTGGTTTGGGAGGAAGGAAAAGCAGAGGGCTCGGAGTCCTGAAGGTGGACAGGGTGGAGGTCAGGGGCAGACCTAGCAGAGAACCAGCGAACATAGAGTCTTGCAGTCAGGAACCAGGGTCTGACATGGTGCTGATCTGCAGTGACCAAGGCCCAGAAAGTCTCGAGGATGTGGCAGGTGCAGGGGAAGCAGTGTGGATAGATGGTGACATGGATGATGACATTATTTGTCTACCATCCCCAAGAGCATCACCATTCTTCGCTGACATTACACAGTCCTGGGGAAAGCTGATCCCCAAATGGTGGAGATTAAGTTTTGGTTCCCTGGCCGAATGGGACCTCAAAATGGGAAGTAAGTTCAGTTACAGAGAAGTCGGGAAAGTTACATTTCCTGTGCCCTGGGGGTTTGGGGATTGGCGCTTGCATCTGCTGTTCAAGTCTTTCTTTCCCTCCAGACTGTGAGCTCCAGGCAGGCAAGGACAGGTCTACCTCTTGGCCACTATCTTGCCAGCATGTAGCTCAGTGCCGGGCGCAGGGAACATCCTCAGTAGATATGTGTGACATGAATGGATAAAGACAGACCCGTGATGTGCACTGTATGTTCTTTAGCTGGGTTGACCTGTAGTTCCCTTGGCTCCATGTACAGGTGGAAAAACAAAGGGTGCTGATTTCATTTGCTGAACGTCTCACAGGGGCCCAGATGGGATTCTGATCCAGTTCTACTGGCTTCAAAGTGGTGCCCTTTCCATTAAGGCAATATGGAAGAGTCAGGAGTCTATTTGCATGTGATTTGTAGAATGATTTGCATATATGCCTGCAGGATTTTCTCTCTAGAGAGTTCTGTGTAAGGTTTATTGTTGTTGCCTCTAAGAGGCAATATGTTGCAGTGGGAGGAGCTCAGGCTTCAAGTGAGACAGTTGGAGGTCTCTGCGGGACCCAGAGTGTGGGTCACATGAAAGCAGCCACTCCAGGCCTTCCCCTGACCAGGTCCCTGTCTGCCCTGAGCTGAGTCCAAGGGCCTCCAATTATGGAGTCACAGGGAGTCTGGCCCTGAAGAACCTGAGGCTCACAGTCTTCGTTCTTACCCTGCCACCCCCAACCCTGCCCATTTCACAGATGTGAAAGAAGTGAAAAGCCCATGACCCCTCACCCCCACCCCAGTGGGTCTGGTGTTGCACTTATAATGTGAGGCTGTAAGGGATAGAGAGAGAGAGAGAGAGAGAGAGGAGAAGAGGGAGACTAGGGGAGGGATAGAGGTGGGAGGAAGACAGTGGGGGAAGGGAGGGAGAAAGGATCAAATGTCACCACTTCACTGTAGGAAACATTAGGTTGTGCTTGGTCCCGGTGGCTGTGAGTGCATGGTGTGTGTGTGTGTGTGTGTGTGTGTGTGTGTGTGTGTGTAGGTGTGTGTGTCTCTCCCCTCTCCTCCTCTTATCACCCCAGGGTAACCCCGAGGAGTGAGCTCCATAGTCTGAGCCCTGGAGGGCTCCATGGCCCATGGCAGCAAGGCTCACTTAATCCTCATAGCATCCCCTTGAGGACCATATTGCTGCCCCCATTTTGCAGGTAAAGAAACAGAGGCTCCAAGAGGTGGGAACTTGCCAAAGGTTGAGGCCAGGAGGTGGAGGTGGTAGGACTTACACTCAGGCCTGCCCAAGTCCAAGGCCTTGGCTCTGCCCACTTCCCCATGCTGCCCTCCAAAGGGTGGCGTGCCTCGCCCATACTCGCATGCATAAATATGGGTTTGATTGAGTCAATTATGAAGGCTCCTCAGAGGACAAGTGTTCTGCCAATGGCACTTTTTGGTGAGAGTTGTCCCAACAATCCCAGGAAGCTTCAGTGAAAGAACATTCACTCGACCAGAAATCAGACACCTGAGGTCCAGTCCTGGCCAAACCTCTGACTTGCAATCCGGTCTTCCTGGTGCAGAAATGAGGAGGGCTCCGCTAACAGCTCCCTCAGGAAAATAGCAAGGAAGGAGGTGGGCGGGGGCACACGGCACAGAAGCTACACACCTGGGTTTGGGAGCCCTGTGGCGGTCAGAGGAATCACACCAGGCGCCTGCAAGGTGCTCCATAGTGACCCTTCTTTAGTGCTTATTGCCGTATTCCAGACACTGTCCTAAATGTTTTATGGCTATGAACTCATTAATCTTTACAACAACCCTATGATGCAGGGTTCCTATTGTTATTTCCCTTTCAAGACAAAGGAACTGAGGCACAGAGAGACTATGGAATGTCCCCAGGGTCATACTGTCCTACGCGGAACAGCTGGGATCCAATCCCAGGCAGGCTAGCTCCAGAGACCGTGCTGACACACACCCCGCTACAGGGTGGTTCCGGAGCTCCTTGGATCTTTCATGTCACGGCTGGAGAATGAGGATGGTTTGGCCTCACAGAGGCCATGAGTGGGGTTGGGGGCAGCCGAGGGGTAACTGAGAATCAGCCATCCAACCGCCAAGAGGAGCCTTGAGGAGATCGAAGCCTTGCCACCTTGACCACCGCCCCTCCAGAGTTTTGGGATGACAGTGTTTCACTCTGCTCCCAGCAGCAGGTGCATCAGCTGCTCGGCTGTGAGGACTGTGCTCCCAGCCAGATGGGGAGGACCGGGCCCCACATGTCCGCTCCCCGCTCAAGGTCACTGAGCCGGTGAATGTGGAAGAAGCATGAACTGAGCTGAAGGTATTTCAGCCATCCTTCCAAGCCTTGGACTCTGCTGCCCTCCCCAGCACAACGTGGGCTGGGGAGGGGATGCAGCCAGGCCCTGTGGGGCTGTGGTCTGGCCTGTCTCCTGGGGGCCAAGAGACCCTTGGGAAAGACGGTGCCTCAGTCTCTCATTGGCGAAGTGGGGGAATGATGGTGTCTTAAGCTGCCTCAAGAAAGGACAAATTGTGTCTCCAGGGACGGTTACAGAGATAGGGAAGGAGGAAGCCCAGGACTGAAGAGATGGGGCCCAGGCCACATCTGCCATGAACTCACTGTGTGATCCTGGGTAAGCTACTTCACTTCCCTGAGCCTCCCCATTCTCACTTGGGAATGCACAGCAACTGTTGTGGGGTGCCCAGAGTGCACCAAGCTTGGCCTTCTAGCACTTCCCATCCCTGAGTGAGGCAAAAGAGCAGGTACAGGCTTGGGAGACCCAGACTCAAAGTCCCCTTCTGCTGTTTACTGGTTGTGTGACCTAAAGTCTCCTATTTCTGAGCTCAGATTTCGAATCCCAGAACCGAAGCGGCCATTCATCCCTCACAATAGCCCAATGGGACAAACAAGATAATCCCCATTTTCCAGATGTAGACAATGATACTCAAAGATCCAGCCCTAGGCCTCAAATAGCTCATGGTTTAAAGGGAAGAAACAAATATAAATCAAATGTGTAACAAATCAGGGTGATAAAGATGACCAGCGGGTAACCACAGTGCAGGCGCAAAGCAGAGGCTGAAGGGTGTGGGACGGGGGCCCACAGAGGGTGCTTGAAATGAATGGTGGGAGATAGGAGGTGTTTGCCAAGTGGCAAGGGGTGGGCAGAGGAGCAGCAGATGCAAAGGCCCAGTGGTGGGAAGAAGGTTGTCCATTCAGGGTTAAGTTGTATGGGGCGGGGATATAATGAGGCTTGGGCCAGGGAACCTGGCAAGAGCCAGATGGTGGAGGGTTGTGAATGTCATGGCAAGGAGTTGGAGTTTATATTGAGAAGGTAGGGGGAAGGCTTAAAAGGCCCTGCCAAGGAGTAAACATTGATGGAAAGCCTGTGGGACAGCACGGAGCCTACCAACTTGGCACCAACCAGATCCCTTTTTGGCAAAGCAGGCTCAACAGAGAAACACCCGAGCTGAACTCAACTTTTCTAGGTCTCAGGCCTTGTCTGTAATGTGGGATGGTGACCCTGCCCTCTGTCTGCTGCCCACGGAGGAGGTGGGCCTGGGAGTTTGGGCTCCCAGAGCTGCAAGTTTTGACAGTAAGGCTACCGTCTTTTTACAAACAAGGACAAAAGAGTTGCGTCTGATCAGCTGGGGGAACAGGTCTGCTGCCAAGTTCAGTAACTGACAGATGGCTGCAAGTAGAGGGGTTGGTAAAACCAGGAGGGACCTGGGAGAGGTTACTGCAAGGACAGTGCTGGGAGGAAAGAGGGTGGAAGTGAGAAGGCCAAGGAGTGAGCTGGGGTGACTGCAGCTGGGAGGTGAGACACCCAGCCTCTTCAGAGCGGCTCAGCTTTGGGCAGTCCTTACTGTCCCTGAAACCCAGGCTCCGGGTCTGAAAGAAGGGGGAGGCAGTCCTGTCTAATCACAGCGCTGTATGAATACGAATGGGAAGAGAAGACTCACATCTATTTGCAAAAGCGCCTTCGTGTTTACAAAGCAGGTTACCTGCAGCGTATTTTCAGAGCACCGTGGGGAAGGGGGCAAGGGCTGTTGTGGGTGTCGGCGGAGTGCCCGGCACAGGACTGGGTGGGTGTCGGCATGCATCTTACACCAGCTTCACGGCAGCCTTTGCAAATAAGTATTGATATCCTAATTTATTTTACATTGAAGGAAACTGAAATCACACTGCTAGGAAGTGGCAGAGCCAACGTTTGACCCCAAGACAGCCTGATGGCAAAACTCCAGATACTTCCGCAGCAGTCTGCTGTCTCCCTCAAGTTATATCATTTCTATGGGTTTTTTTTTAAATATTCCTTTGACTTGAAGGTCATTTTGAGACTAAAAGGAGATAAATTACTTAACTTCTCCAAACTTACATAATTATATGTAAGAATATAGTTAATATTAATTCCTATGACATAGAAAAATTAATATAATTAAAATGAATTACATTAATGAAATCAATAATAAAAATAAAATAAAATATGTAAAGTGCTTAGAACTGTGCTCGGCACATAGGTAGTATCACATTTTATATACGATATGCCCACTAGATGGGTAAAAATGCAAGCGTATTGGTGAGAATGCGGGACAGTGGAACGCTCACGCATCGCTGGTGGCGGTATAAAGGTCTCCGAGAGAAACTTGGAGGTATCTAGTAGAGTTGAGGATGCATATATCCCGTGACCTGTCAACAGCCTTCCATGGCTCTATACCCTGGAAAAGCATTTGCACGTAGGCACAAGGCAACATACATAAGGACACCTGTATCAGCATTGTTTGTAGGAAAAAACACTGGAAACAACTGCATTGTCCAGGAGAACGGAAGACAGGTGAGCAGAGGCACCCAACAGACATGGAATGGAGCACCTGGTGAAAAGAAGTGAACTACAGCCACACTCACCACCACGGATATTGGGGGAACACAAGTGCCAAGGTACACAGAGTGATACGGTTTTTTAATTTTATAAAAAGTTCAAAAACACGTGAAATGAAAGCCTGCACTGTTTAGGAATGTTTATGTGAATAGTAAAACTATTGAGAAAGGTGACAAAATACAAACTTATTGCCATCTGTGGGAGAAGGAGGGTAGACGGGAGGACAAAGAATTTAAAAGGAATAGATAATATCCTGCTTCTGAAGCTGGTGAGTACCCGGGCATTCATTAAATTCTGACTTATATATTATTCATTGAATATGCTCATATGGCTCTCTAATTGAATATATATATGTATGCATGTATATATATTGTTGACTAAATATATATTTTATGTGGACTAAATATTTAATAATAAATGAAAATGCAATTATAAAGAGGCATACTTGAGATGAAAAATTATGTCTTATTTACCCCTGGTTGTCTGATGCAAAGCATGTTTCCTTGCTCATAGGAGGTATTTCTAAAGTTGTTTATTAAGTGAATGACTGAATAAATGAGTGAATAGATACCTTCTAATTCTTATCTCCCCACTTTACTGCACTCCTACCAACATACATACTGGCCTGGGGCCAGATTTCTTACTTTTGTAACTCCCGGAGACAAGAAAACCAGGCTAGGGAGTGTAGGTGATGCCATATGGCTTATCCTCAACATGACACATATGAGAGAACTCCGTTCAGCCCTACCCAACCATCCATCCATCCATCCATCCATCCATCCATCATCTATTCATTCTTCCACTAATACATGTAGTTAGTAAACACTTATTGAAAGAAATACTAATGGAGATCGGTGTAACCTCTTTAGAAATGAAGTAAATTCGCATCCGAGATAATGACTCTGCATGTGACCACACTGTCCCAGAGGCCATGACGGTGCCCCAGTTGGATATGGGGGGAAGGCACAGGATGCCCATAAGATTTTGCAACTCACCTTGGCACACAAATGAAGAGGGTGTTTCCCCTGGGTGGACTCGTCCCGTGATGAATACTACCTTCTGCTCTGCTCCTTCCCGAAGGTTGTCTGTAGAAGAAAATGGAAGGAGGTTGTTCAGGAGGTCAGGAAAAGCTGAGACGGGGAGCTGGTATGTGGGAGAGAAGGACAGGGAAGGGACTGGGTGCTTTACATTCAATTCTTAAATCAATGGATTGGAATCATTAAGGCCCAGCCATTGGTGACTAATGAAATTATGTCCCTGACTACCCAATATTCAAAGACTACATTCCTACTGATGCAATTGATCATGTTAATATTACCATCTGTAGACATCCTGTGAGTGAAGCCAAATTCCAGACTCACTGATTGTGACCCAAGGCAAGTTGTGTATGCTTTCTGAGTTTTGATTTGCTAATCAAATCAAATCCACGTGTATACACGTGGAGAGTACTAGTGATGAAACAAGCTTACACATTGCTTAGTACACAGTAAACACTCAGTAAATAATGGAGTAAAGAAAGTAGCTGTTTCTATTAGTCATAGTAGCACTGCCATTTAATTAGGGCCTTTTGTGTCAGGCACATTATATACATTACTTAGAGTTCTACAGAAACGTGCACAGTTAATATTCCTTTTATAGAGGCAGAAACTGATGCTTAGAGAGGTTACATAACCTGTCACACAGCTAACAGGTGTGGGTCGAGCTGAGATCAGAACTCAAGCCCTTGTTTGACCTTGATGAAGTAACAGGGACCAGATTTCTCTTTCAACTTAAGCCAACTAAAAAATCGGACAAACAGACAAAACTGTTTTCAGACAAGAGGCAGTGCAAGACTAATGCATGGAAAAAGTATGCCCTCTGATTGCCCTGGCTCTTTGCCTAGAGGCCCATTCCAGACCAAAGAGCAGAGAGGGGTATCCTGAGCAGACCATGGAAATCTCACTGAGATTAAACTTCAGAGAGTCTGAAGCAGGTGGTAGCTGGGGGGAAACTGCACGTTCCAGAGAAGACAGAAGTCTGTGGAAAAAGAATCCCAGAAATCTGTCAAGGAGTCCTCAAGTGTGTTTGTGGGTCCCAAGAGGTGCACACAGAGGGTGAATCTCCACGATGTGGTGCAAAAATGACCAGGGAGCTGTGAACCGCATGGCTGCCAGGGCTCACACAGGGCTAAGAGTCATTTGAATTTCCACCACCAAAGTGGTAGTCCTCACTGATCACTCAGGGCATTCAGGAGAGAACCTAGAAGGGCCATGTCTTGGTGGTGGGGCTAAACTACTCTAGACTCATTCTAACAAAATTTTAAAATCACAGAAGTTTCAAACTGGACAGAAGAAACTTAACTGCCTGCCATATAAAGTGCAACTCTCTTTAAGGAAAGATAATAAAATCCAGACACTCAACAATGTACAATTCACAATCTCCAGCATCCAATAAGAATCATTAGACATGCAAAGTAGGAAAATATGATCCAAAATCAGAGCCCAAGCTCTTGCTACTTCTAAGGAGTCTCATTCGTATAATAAAGTTTAGCTATTGTGCAAAGAGATTATTAGACAAAAGCAGTGGCCAAGAGTGACATTCCCAGAAGGAAGGGGCAGGAGGGTACTTAGTCCCTGGCAGAGGAAGGCCAGATCAACCCAGAACAGAACCATGACTGGAAGCAATTTCAGAAGTCAACATTGAGACAAGTTGGGTTAAAGAATAATACCATCTATGTTGGAGGATGATCTGGAGGGAGAGGGGAGGTAGAAATAATTAACAGGGTTTTTACCTCTGAAATGATAGGGACAGGTTATTTTGAATGAGTTTATGATCTCAACAGTCGATGCACCAATGTCAGAGACTAAAATAAAATATATATAGGGCACCTGAGTGGCTCAGTCGTTAAGCGTCTCCCTTTGGCTCAGGTCATGATCCCAGGGTCCTGGGATCGAGCCCTACGTCGGGCTCCCTGCTCAGCGGGAAGCCTGCTTCTCCCTCTGCCATTCCCCCTATTTGTGTTCCCTCTCTCGCTGTGTTTCTCTCTGTCAAATAAATAAATAAAATCTTAAAAAAATAAATAAAAAAATAAAATTAAAAAATATATATGTATTAACTTTATTAAGCCTGATTCTAATGGCTTGGGACTTGCTTGGTCTATTGGGATGACCGTTACTGAGGTTACTGCTTCCCTAATACTAGGCGTCTGAGAGGCAGCGAGAAATACAGTGGAGCCAAAATTCATTCCTTTTTTTTTTTTCCCCTAAAATACATTCTTGAGAACTCACCCTGTGCTCAGCTCTGTGCTAGGCACCTTTAGGAACAAAGGGAGAGAGAAGTTTATGGTTTAAAAGAGGAGTTAGACACCTGAATATTTCCTAGACTGAATATAAGCTCCTCCAGGAAGAAGCTGCAATTTTCATGGTTATTTTTAACACCATTCCCAGGACACTGTGTGGACTAGCACTCAGGAATTGGCTATCGAATTAAAAATACTCGTATAGATCATGGCTTGTCTTAGTTAATCGTCATCATACCTCTGTGAAGTGGACAGTATTAACCCCATTTTATAGGTGAAGGGACTGAGGTTCACAAAAGGAAGGGACATGCCCAAGGTCACCTGTCTCCCTGCCTAGGACCCTCTCACTAGCATTTAACTCCTCTTGGATCGACTAGCAACAATATCAGATCCCGTGTCCGCTGCATTTCCACCTACAACGTACATGAGAGAGATTGGTTCCATCCCTTTTTGCTAGTGGAAGTTGAGCTACTGCCTTTGTATTTATATTATTTTTTCACTTACAAAACAAAAAATGAAATGCCACCAAGCCCTTAAAAAAAAAAACACTAACACTGACCCCATCTATCCCAGCAGTCCAGAAATGATAAATAGCATTACCAAGGCCCTCGGCGAACGCTACCTTTATGGATGTCTCCCCTGACCTGGTATCAACTCAATTGCATTCAGCATTTCTGCTGACCACAGAGAAATGCAAAATGGGCATTCTATTTGCACACTAATTTTACTGAGCCCCTGCGTCTTCATAAAATGATAACATGGGGCTAATAAAAATCAAGCATCTCGGGTGTTAATATAAGCAAATGTTGATGCAGGCAGGTAACAAATTGCTTTGTCATTTAGGAGGCCATAAAGAGCATTATAATCATCTTTAGGCAAAATGGATGGGTCGCCTTTGCTTAGCTTTTAGCTTTCATTTGCAAAATCAATTTAAGGTAATGTAGCAGCTCTGAGGTGGTGTGACATGGGACACCCCCCACCCCCCCACCCTGTCACTGAATCTCCAGACTCGTGCAAAGCCAATTAAACATATTCTTGGAGGAGGCAGCAGGGATGATGGAGGAAGTATGCTTGAACAAAGCCAGGGTGGAAAGCAGCTGAACAATGAGACCAAGAACAACCCTGTAAGGGGTGAAGAAACTGAAAGTTCATTGAGGGTGACATGCTCAAGGATACAAGGGCACACTCATGGGGAACCTGATAGCCACACCAGACCCTCACTTGACAGAAGGTGTTTGAAGCCAAATGTGCTTTGTGTAGCATCCCAACACACACACACACACACACACACACACACACACACACACACACCCCTTTGCCTTTATATCCCTCTATCATCCACTATCTCCTTATTTATAAAATATTAATTGAACATCTATTCAGTAGCCTGGAGCTACCCACTATTATCTTCATTTTACAGAAAAACAAGGCCAAGAGACATTAAGTGACTCGTCTTAGTTCTCACAGCCCAGGACTGGCAGAGCGAGGCCCCACCCAGGCAGTCTGACTCCACCTGTGTCCCTAAATCCCACGCTACTCTGCTTCTTGTGAAGGACAATAAGAGTAACCAGTTACGATAGCAGCCAAGTAATATTTATTCAGCACTTCCTCTGTGCCAGGCACTTTCCATGTATGACCTTATTTCATTTTCATAGCGACCCAAAGAAACATCTACTCTTCCTACCCCTATCTCATAGATTAGGAAATTGAGATCTAGAAAGATGAATAATTCATCTACACCTGCATAAGTGGTACCTGTGGGGGCCAGGATGAAACCCCAGGTCTTTATGAATCTCAAATGTATGCTCTTCACACCTCTTGGAGATTAAATAGGGTCCACGGGTGGTTTTTAAAATACACCCACAAATTCTTCGTGAATCTCTTCCCTTCAAGAGGTGGAGATGAACCCCCCTTTCCCTTCAGCGTGGGCTGGACAGACAGGCTTGCTCTAGCAAATAGCATACGGGGTGTGGGTGAAGGCATGTCACTCTTTCGAGATTGGGCTACAAAAAGACTGTGGCTTTCATCTTGGGTGCTGGCTCTCTCTCCTTCATCGCTCACACTGAGGAATCCGGCTGCCATGATGTAACACTCAGGTGGCCCGTGGAGCCCTCACCTGTCTGGGGAGGAGCCGAAGTACCCAGGAACAGAGGCCAGCCAAAACCATTTGAACAAGCTTGGAAGGGTATCCTCCAGTCCGAGGTGACCGCAGCCCTGGCCACCAGCTTCCTCCAACCTCCTGAGCCAGAGCTGTCCTACGGGGCTGCTCCTGCCCTCCTGGCCCACAGAAACTGGGAGATGATAACTTGTTGTTCTAAGACGCTGAATTCTAGAGGAAGTTGTCAGGCAGCAATTGACTAAATAGTCCTCCTGGAGATGGCCAAAGAAATCTTGCATCTTACCTATTGATGCCCAGCCTGAGGAAGGCCAGAGTTGTAACCCTGGTGTCAACATGGAAGGAGAGCCTTACTGGATCAGGTCAGTCATCAGTGGATCTGTGGCTGGTGGAGGTGCTAGAAGATGCCAAGAGGCCCCACAGAGCACTAGCTTGCCCTCTGAGGACAAAAGGCTCCCACAAGTTCACATGGTCAGTTTGGTTTCCCTTATTCTTCCCTGACAGTAATTCTGACAATAACTTGTCCTAGCGAGCGAGCTGTTCTGTGGAGGAGGAAGGGCTGGTGAGCAGGGGGTGGGAATGTGGAATGTTACAACAGGAAAAGGATTTTTTTTTTTTCCTCCCAGATCTAAGCCTTGGTCATTTTCTTGACTTCATGATCCCCGAAAGGCCATCGCTGAGGCGGGAAAAGA